GTGTGTGTGTGTGTGTGTGTGTGTGTGTGTGTGTTTGAGTGTGTGAGAGTGTGTGTGTGTGTTAGAGTGTGTGGGTGTGTTTGTGTTTGTGTGCGTGTGTGATGTGTGTGCATGTATTTGTGTTAGAGTGTGTGTGTGTGTGTGTGTGTGTGTGAATGAATGAATGAGAATGCAGCAATGAAGCTAAGCAGACTTGAGCTCTGCTAACACCTACAGAGCTGATACTGCAAAACACACACTGATGCTCATGCACACACACGCACACACACACTCTCTAACATACACTCACACACTCATGTGCATTAGTTGCAGCAGCTGTTGTGTCTCATTGATGTCTCAGGGAGTGTTTCTGTGAGCAGCAGGAGAGTGTTGCTGTGTCATTCGTCATTACGGCTCTTCACAGATCCTGCAGTGTAGGAACTAGAGATGAGCGCCACCTGTTGACCACTGACATACATCAACCATTACTCACTGATCTGTATCAGCATATCTGTCTTATTCTATCATGTCAGCGGCAGCTCTGTCATCCGTGAGAGTATTTAGTTTTTATAATTTGAATTTTGCAAGCTTAATTTAACTGCAATGCAGAAACTGATGTTCTTCCTCAGTATTTTTGTTTTGTTTTCCAGTACAAATATATAAAAAATTCTTAAATCAAGATGCATTTACTTCAGATGCAAAATGACATGAGAAGTCTTGTTTTCTAAGAAATTGATCAAACGAAGTGAGTTTATGGATTCAGAAAAATCTACTTGTTTTCCCTTTGAATTCAATTGATTTTTCTGAACCCATTGGCAGATATTTGTTGTTGTTTTAAGCATAAACTAACTTCATTTTGTCATCTCACCTCTCATGTCATTGTGCATCTTGATTCAAAAATATTTAGACAAAATACTACGAACATCACTTTTTGCAGTGTATTACGTGACATTAACTAAATGTGAGCCTGGAGCACAAAAGCAGTGTTAAGTCGCTGGGGTATATTTGTAGCAATAGCCAACAATACATTGTATGGGTCAAAATTATAGATTTTTCTTTTATGCCAAAAATTAGACAAGGATTCCATCACTATGAGCTCTAGTTATGATTTACTGATGTGTAATTGAGCGTTCCTGTCTTACGTTGTTGTCAGGTTTCATCCCGGTCTGTAGTCTGGGCGTGTGTCAGGTGGGCCGTATGAACTTTGGGAAGAACGTGAGCACGCTGAAGTACTTCACCATCTGCGGGCTGCAGGAGGGCTACGAACCCTTCGCCGTCAACATGAACCGCGATCTGACCATGTGGATCAGCAAACGGCTGCCTCAGTTCATCCCCGTCCCGCTCAACCACGAGCACATCGAGGTCAGAGGTCACGCCACACGTGTGCTTTGGGTCGAGCGGCGCCGTACCGAGCGTTCACAGCATTCTCTGTGTGTTGCAGGTCACACGGATCGACGGGACGGTGGAGAGCCCGCCATGCCTAAAGGTCACCCAGAGGTCGTTCGGCTCACAGAACAGTAGCACAGACATCATGTTCTATCGTCTCAGCATGCCCATCGAGTGCTCGGAGGCGTTTCTGCGCTCAGCCAGCGGCAGCTTCTTCTCTCCCAAGAGAGATCTGGAGGACTTCGAGACGGTGTCGGACTTCGAGGTCCTGATGAAGACGCCACACAGTCATGTGAGCTCGAACGGACCCGACAGAGAGCGAGACGAGTTCAACAACCACAAGGATCATAATCAGGAGAAACCCTCCAAAATCAAGCAGAGGTCATTATACAGACACACACACATGACATTATTGATCTGAAAGAGAAAAATGAAATTTAGAGACGACCGTTAATGCTGCTGTTGCATCCTTAGTTTTGGATTGAATTGTGTTCGGACACATAACAGAAAGAAAGACGTGTTTGAGTCTGATTTTGGTGTGAATGATGATGATGATAGGTTTGATAAAGTGCTTTTGTCTGTAATTTACACGTGTTTGTGTTCAGGTTCATGTTGAAAAGAACAAAGCCTGAAATGACCAGCAGTAACTCCAGCGCTCGTCTGTCAGAGGAGGTTTTGGCTGATGAGAGAGACGACTGTGAGAATCTCATACAGACATCAGCGGTGAGAGACAGAGCTCAAGTCATCAGAACGGCACGCTCTTCAGCTTTGAGCCGAGTGTTAAATGTCGTGTTCTGTCTCTGTGTGTCAGTATTATTACTCGGTGAGGATCTTCCCCGGCCAGGAGCCATCCAGCGTGTGGGTCGGCTGGGTGACCTCAGACTTTCATCAGCACGACCCGGCCTTTGAGCTCAGCACGGTCCGAATGGTCACCGTTACCCTGGGAGACGAGAAGGGCAAAGTTCATGAGAGGTCAGTGACGCTGACGCTGCAGGAGCACAGTGTGAATCTGTCTGCAGATGCAGTTACAGATATCTAATGTATGGAATGGTTGTACAGTAGCAGTCTGCATCTGTTTCGCAGCATCAAGCGCAGTAACTGCTACATGGTTTGGGGCGGCGAGTGCAGCAATCCCAGTCAGGGCCGCAGTAATAACGGGCTGGAGATCGGGTGTTTGGTTGATACAGCCAACGGCCTCCTCACCTTCACCTCCAACGGCAAAGAGCTCAGCACCTTCTACCAGGTACTGTTCATTCCTCCGAGCAGCCTGTGATGCAGGGACTGGTTAACTAGGACTAACTAGCAGCGTAACTGTGTCTGCAGGTGGAGCCCAGTACTAAACTTTTCCCTGCAGTGTTTGCGCAAGCAACCAGTCCAAACGTCTTTCAGTTCGAACTGGGACGCATCAAGGTGAGCTTATGCTTACACACACACACACACACACTCTCTCACTCACACACTCTTGTTTTTGTGAATTGTGGGGACATTCCATAGGTGTAATGGTTTTTATACTGTACAAACTGTATGTGCTATTGCCCTACACCAACCCTACCCCTAAACCTACCCCTTACAGGAAACTGTGCATTTTTAGATTTTCAAAAAAACTCATTCTGAATGATTTATAAGCGTTTTTGAAATATGGGGACACTCAAAATGTCCTCAAAAATCACCTTCTCGTTGTAATACCTATGTCATACCCATGTCATTATACAAATTTGTGTCCGCATAAATCGCAAAAACACGCACACACACACACTAACATTCACTCACACACGCACACACACACACACACACACACACACTCACACACACACAAAATATAGCTAGCGAGTGTCTGTACACAATGTGGACATTCTACAAAATTCTACAGATTCACGTGAAATGTAGCTATTTATTTGTAACCACTAAATGTGCTAAGAAACCACTAGAAATGTGTTTTTATCATAGGTTTTTAATTATTAATCGTATTAGTTTAAGCAATTGTTAGATGAGTGAGAGTTCAGTAGATAGTTTAAATATGGCTTTAGTCTGAATTATTCCATTCATTTATTTCAAAGGTGGCTCGGTCAGTTTAATTTAACCATTATGTTGTTGTTTCTAATTGATTTTATGTCCAGCTGATGGGTTATTTACTCACCATAGCCTGTTCTTCCATGCACTTGGCGAATATGATGATGTTGAGTTTGAATGAGATGTTGTGTGTCGCTCCTGTCAGGTCTCTGGATATCCTGGAGCTGACGGAGCAGAGAGAGCTGTTGAAGTTTCACTACCACACGCTGTGCTTGTATTCGGCCATCTGTGCTCTGGGGAACAACCGTGTGGCTCACGCGCTCTGCAGTCATGTAGACGAGGCGCAGCTCCTCTACGCCATCCAGAACAAATACATGCCGGGCCTGCTGCGCACCGGATACTACGACCTGCTGATCGACATCCACCTGAGCAGCTACGCCACCGCGCGCCTCATGATGAACTCCGAGTACATCGTGCCCATGACGCCCGAGACCAAGAGCATCACGCTCTTCCCCGACGAGAAGAAGAAGCACGGGCTGCCGGGGATCGGCCTGAGCACCTCTCTGCAGCCGCGCATGCGCTTCTCGTCGCCCAGCTTCGTGGGCGCCGTCGGCGGTCACCACAGTAACGGCGCGGTCGCCGGGGGCGACTGTTTCCAGTTCAGCCCCGAGTTCCCGCTGGAGGCGCTGAAGAGCCGCACGATGGAGATGCTGACGGAGGCGGTGCGGGAGGGAAGCTTGCACGTGCGCGACCCCGTGGGCGGCAGCACCGAGTTCCTGTTCGTCCCGCTCATTAAACTCTTCTACACGCTCCTGATCATGGGCATCTTCCACAACGGAGACCTGAAGACCATCCTGCAGCTGATCGAGCCCAGCGTCTTCTCGCAGGACTCCGGGGTGGAGAGCGGAGGCGGGGCGCCGGAGGCGGAGGATGACTGTGGGCGGGGCCAACTGGAGGGGGGCGGGGCCGAGGAGCACGGCCTGAGAGGAAAGATGCCCAAAGAAGGACTTCTGCAGATGAAGCTTCCTGAACCCGTCAAACTGCAGGTGAGTGAAGAGGATCTGAAAAACATTTTAGCCACCCTTTATTTCAGTAGTAACTTTGCAACTACATGTCAACTAACTCTCATTAGAACATTAGTAGATTGTTAGGTCTGTAGAATAAGTCATTTGCATTCTTGCAAAGTTGCTTACAGTCAGTACACTGCAAAAAATGCCAATGGGGTAAGCAAAATTTCAAACAGAAAACAAGATTATTTTGCTTACCCCATTGGCAGATTATTTTGCTTGTTTCAGGCAAAAACTCACTTAATTTTGACATGTTTTTTTCTGAAAACAAGACAATAATTGTCTAGAAAATCCTTCTTGATTTAAGAATTTTTAGATATTTCGGCTGGAAACAAGACAAAAAATCTAAGTAAGAAAAGCATTTTTTGCAGTGATGTCCATCAAAATAAAGTGTTAGCAGATATTAAGCAGACAGTCTACTAATAATCTAATGACTGCTAGCTGACAGGTAGATGCAAATGTGGACGATCACAATGAAGTTTTGATATTTCTAAATAATGCCCTATTTTTGATTGACTCACTCTCTATTAAACCCTAAATGAATGCCAAACCAGTGTATTTTATAGTTTAATTTATAATTCTATTTATGTTATAGTTTAATTTATATATTCATTTATTTGTTTTTGTGTGCTTATATAAGTGCATGTACATAAATCAGTGTGTTTGTTACACATTTTCATTATTTAAAATAAATGGTAACGGAAATAAAATAAAATATAAAAATTTTAACTTATTTGATTTCAACTAGTTCCCAAGGCAATATTTCTCATTTTCATTTAGTTTAACTTGATGTACGAAAATAACTAAATTTAAAACTGAAATAAAAATGTATACAATCTATATAGACATATTTAAAAATAACAAAAACGGCAAAAATACACAACAAAACTACTAATACTTAAAAAAAAGAGAAAAAAGAAAATATGAAAACAAAATCTCAATGATACTAAACTTACACTAGTGTGTGTACATGCGTATATGCACTATTTTTCAGTTAACTTATGAAAATGAATGGTCAGCATGAATGTAATCCAAGGGATTTGGCGAGTGTCGAGGGATTGTTGAATTTGATTTGTACTGAAAAACAGTAAAAAGCCTCCAGTGGTTGAGTGAAGTGATGTGTGTGTGTTCAGATGTGTCACCTGCTGCAGTACCTGTGCGACTGTCAGGTGCGTCACCGCATCGAGGCTGTGGTCGCCTTCTCCGACGACTTTGTGGCGAATCTTCAGGAGAACCAGCGTTTCCGCTATAATGAAGTGATGCAGGCGCTGAACATGTCTGCCGCTCTGACGGCACGCAAAACCAAAGAGTTCCGCTCTCCTCCGCAGGAACAGGTCTTTACACGCGTTTCACACCTTTTCCATGATATTTACTCTTTTTCTGTTTCTCTTTATCTGTCTGTAAATCTTAATAAATAACTTGAGTTTGAAATGATATTGATCAAATAAATCCTAGATTAAATATTTGTCCCTACATTATTTCCTCTGATCATTTTTCACTCAAAAAAGGTTATGGTATGGTTATGGTCATCTAAGTTCAATGCGCTGTGAATGATGATTCACTCGCGCGCGCGTGTGTGTGTGTGTGTGTGTGTGTGTGTGTGTTTCCTCAGATCAACATGCTGCTGAATTTTAAGGATGAGAAGCAGGACTGTCCGTGTCCAGAGGACATCCGTGAACAGCTGCTGGACTTCCATGAAGATCTGATGACACACTGTGGTATCAGTGATCGAGTCTAAACATCCTTAACCAGATTAATGATCATTAAAATTGTATCTTGACATTCATTTTTATCACCCCATTGCCAAACTGTTTGCTTTTCATGCTTCAAGTATTTCAAGTAATTTTCGAGTAATTCATGATCTGTGTTGTTATTGATTAGTGATTGATGTGTGAATTACTCCCAGTGGATCTCATGTTAGTAGGGATGTAACGATTAACCGTGAGCCGGTCGAAAATCAATTCAAATATGTGACGATTCAAATCGGTTGAGATGCCAAACAAATCGCGATACAATTGGAGTAGGAGTTTAAATGAATGTATCTCTGAGGGGAACTGACTGTCTTTAGAAATGTTTACATGGTATTTTCTTTTCATCTTGCCTCTGACCAATGCATATTAAAGTAGTGTTCATAAGTGCAGCTCTGCTTTGTTTATAGAAAAGTTCAGCAGATATTTTCTTTTCATCTCGTCTCTGTATAATCCATACTACAGTGCGGTCCATAAGTGCTGCTCTGCTTTGTTTACAGCGGTAACCAAGGAAACACTGTATCATTGCTGTCCATAAGTGCTGCTCTGCTTTGTTTACAGCAGTAACCAAGGAAACACTGTATCATTGCTGTAGATAAGCGCCACCTGCTGGCAGAGAGTAAATCTGCGTCTCATTCAGCTCGTCTGCTGTTTCCTTCAGATATGTTTTATGTAGTATAGTTTCCCAAAACTAAAGTCAGACCATTCTGTTTTTGCTTTAGATTAAAAATGACTCATGTTGCATGTATGCTGCATCTTTGTTTGGATCATGATTAAAATCCAGTGGTTGCCTCTAATTTTAAATGGAAACAGCACAAACAAAGCCTTAGTTTGTTCATATTAAGAGATTTCTTTTTTTGTGTAACTTGCTTGATTTGGGGTTTGTTTTAAAATTTAAATTTAGTTTTGTTATATTTCAATTTCACAAAGAAACGTGCAGCAATAGCCTAATAAAACGACACCTTTTCATTTACTGTATAATGTCTTCAGTCTCATTTTGTTAAAAAAAATCGTGATAAATCGAATCGTGAAATCAAAATCATGAATTGAATCGAATCGTGAGTTGAGTGAATCGTTACATCCCTACATGGAAGTCTTCTGATGCTCTGTGTTTTAGATGCTGATGATGAAGTCTGTGTTTCTGCATGTCTGTCCTGCAGGCATTGAGACAGATGATGATAAATCAGGAGATGGAGATGATTTCACCATCAGGGGTCGTCTGATGTTTCTGGTGGAGAAGGTGACCTACCTGAAGAAGAAAATGACTGAAATACCAAAGAAGAAGAAATCAAAGAAACCCAGTGAGTGAAGCTCTCCTCTCCTTCATGAGGACCGTATTCTGCGGTTCCTAGCCGTGCTGATCTCTGCTTCTGTCTGAAGGCACCTTGCAGCAGCTGATCTCGGAGACGATGGTGCGCTGGGCTCAGGAGTCGGTCATCGAGGATCCCGAGCTGGTGCGGGCCATGTTCGTGTTGCTCCACCGGCAGTACGACGGCATCGGCGGCCAGGTGCGAGCGCTGCCCAAGACCTACACCATCAACGCCGTCTCGGTGGAGGACACCATCAACCTGCTGGCGTCTCTGGGTCAGATCCGCTCTCTGCTCAGCGTCAGGATGGGCCGCGAGGAGGAGAAGCTCATGATTCATGGGCTCAGGTGACCCACAATCTCCTGCACCTGTCTGAAATATAGCAGATGCATTTAAATGGGCCATATGTGACCCTGGAGCACAAAACCAGTCTTAAGTGTCAATTTTTCGAAATTGAGATTTATGCATCATCTGAAAGCTGAATAAATAATCTTTCCATTGATGTATGGTTTGTTAGGATCAGACAATATTTGGCTGAGATACAACTATTTGGAAATCTGGAATCTGAGGGTGCAAAAAAATCTAAATATTGAGAAAATCATCTTTAAAGTTGTCCAAATGAAGTTCTTAGCAATGCATATTACTAATCAAAAATTAAGTTTTGATATATTTACGGTAGGAAATTTACAAAATATCTTCATGGAACATGATCTTTACTTAATATCCTAATGATTTTTGGCATAAAAGAAAAATCAATAATTTTGACCCATACAATGTATTGTTGGCTATTGCTACAAATATACCTCAGCGACTTAACACTGCTTTTGTGCTGCAGGGTCACATATAACAAATAATAAATAATTAAAAACATATTATTTAAACAATTATAGATGTGTGGATATATACAGTACTAATAATAATAATTAAAAATATATTTAATAATTTAAACAATTGTATATATTATTATTAAATACTATTAAATAATTTAAAAATAGAATTATATGTAGAAAATATATAAAATTAAAAAAATAATAATAATAATAATTTTAAAGCATTCTCAGTTTAAAGCAGTGGAGGGTTTTTGCGTCTTGGCTTTGGCTCAGTGTTTAGTGTGTGAGATTCCAGTCTGACCTCTGACCTGTCTGTGTCCCGTCTGCAGTGACATCATGAATAACAAGGTGTTCTACCAGCATCCGAACCTGATGAGAGCGCTCGGCATGCACGAGACCGTCATGGAGGTGATGGTGAACGTCCTGGGTGCAGGAGAGTCCAAGGTGCAGACGCTCGTTATCATCTCTGTTTTATTTTGATCTCTTTGCAGTTTCTCAGTTTTTACAGATATGTTGACTGCACTGTCACTGAACGAGTGTCCTTTGGTCTTCAGGAAATCACGTTTCCTAAGATGGTGGCCAACTGCTGTCGGTTCCTGTGCTACTTCTGTCGGATCAGCCGTCAGAATCAGAAGGCCATGTTTGATCATCTGAGCTACCTGCTGGAGAACAGCAGCGTGGGCCTCGGTAAGACGTCTGGAGATCTTGAGAGCGAGGTGTTAGCGAGACGCCCGTGTGTGTTAACCGTGTGTGTTTGTTCTCTGTAGCGTCTCCGTCTATGCGAGGTTCCACTCCTCTGGATGTGGCCGCCGCGTCTGTGATGGATAATGATGAACTGGCTCTGGCGCGTGTGTGTGTGTGTGTGTGTGTGTGTGTGTGTGTCAGGTGGTCCAGTATCTGGCGGGCTGTGGTCTCCAGAGCTGCGTGATGCTGATGTCCAGAGGATATCCTGACATCGGCTGGAACCCGGTGGAGGGTGAACGGTACCTGGACTTCCTCCGGTTCGCGGTCTTCTGTAATGGTTGGTGTTCTGATGAATGTACTTCTGGAGATGATCATGATGTAGTGTGTTATTGTGGGTGAACGGTATTGTTTTGGGGTCTCTCAGGTGAGAGTGTGGAGGAGAATGCTAACGTGGTGGTGCGTCTCCTGATTCGCCGGCCCGAGTGTTTTGGCCCCGCCCTGCGCGGAGAAGGCGGGAACGGGCTGCTGGCGGCGATGGAGGACGCCATAAAGATCTCAGAAGATCCCAGTAGAGACGGACCGTCTCCCACCACAGAGGAGAGCCGGACACTGTACGCAATAAACACACACAGAACATCATGAGCCTCATGTCAGTGTCCTGTTTAACATCCATGGATTCTTTCTATTGCACAATTATAGTGGAAAACTCTTCTTTAGATCATTAAAACACTAAGAAATAAATGGTTATTTTAAGAACTGATCACTGAAAGGATCTTTAGGGAACCAGAAATGGTTCTTCTATTGCATCGCTACAAAAGCCACCCTCGGTAACCTTTATTTTCGAGAGTGTGGCGTTTGATCAGCATCTCTCCGTCTCACACACACGATTCTCTCCTTCATTTATCTTCTGTGCTCCTGTTCTGTCATTGTCCGCTGGTCCAGAAACATCCTAATAAAATGGGTCGCGCTCTAAATGCAGGATTTGCTGCATTCTGAGGATCAACACCTTCATTCACATCTACAGTGTTTTAAAGGGATAGCATGTTTACATGCACATCTGATCTGAATCTTTGAAGGAGAGAAGTGTTCAAGTCCTAATTAAATCAGCAATAAAACGGCTAATATGCTGTATAGCCAACCTCATGTGAATGTCATGGATGACAGCGTCTGAATGTCTCATGACATTTACTGTGATGAATTACATTCAGAAAGATTATAATGTGTAGTTCGTTATCAGATCATCTGATGATAATCAAACCACTGCTGATGATGATCTGTGTGTCTCTCATAGTAATGACATCATGGAGGAAGAGGAAGACGACACCATTCACATGGGAAACGCCATCATGACCTTCTACGCCGCTCTGATCGATCTGTTGGGCCGCTGCGCTCCAGAGATGCACGTGAGTGTGGGAATGTTTTCCCTGTAAATCGTCTTCACCGTCACATACACATAAGGCTTTATGTCGATCACCTTCCCCTCGTGATGTGATCTGTTCTCCTCCGTCAGCTGATCCACGCGGGGAAGGGAGAGGCCATCCGTATCCGAGCCATCCTGCGCTCGCTCATTCCCATTGAGGATCTGGTGGGAGTGATCAGCATCCCGTTCCTGATGCCCACGCTGGCCAAAGGTCTGATCGCAGGAAGAGAAACATCTGGGTTCATCTTCAGCTCTGTGTGCTGCACCTGTGTTTTGTTGTCGACATTATGTGAAAAAATTAACAATAAATGACACGCAGTAATGCACTTGACAAAACAGGATCACCAGCTTTGTGTTCTATCAATTTTATTGGTGCATTTTTCACTATACACATCAAAGCAGCTTTACAGAAGATGTGTGATGTTAATGTTTCTAATATCTTATATATATTTATAAAGCGGATAGTTCCGGTCCTTGATTCTGATTGGCTGAGCCGCGTTCTAAGCTGTTGTAAATTTCTCTACAAAGTAACATACACCTTTGTTTACGTTTGTGTGTTGCTCGGCAACCACTTTGTTGCAACCACAACTGTTTCTGAGGAGCTACATTGTTTGGTGGTGATTGGCTGAGCCACATTCGAAGCTGTTGTAAATTTCTCTACAAAGTAACATACACCTTTGTTTACGTTTGTGTGTTGCTCGGCAACCACTTTGTTGCAACCACAACTGTTTCTGAGGAGCTACATTGTTTGGTGGAAGAATACTGTTTTTATTAATATCATTACTGTAACAAAGTTCGTAAGGGGGAAGAAGGAAGTGACTGAGGTCTCTCCAGGCTAATTACTGCAATCAGACACAGGTGATTACACTTTATTTGCTCTGTTTTATTTTGTGAAACCGCATTACGTATATGGAATAACCGTTTTATAAAAGCAATAAGCCCCATGAAGCCGTGGTTTACATGAATTTTCTCCGCTTCGTGCCTAACAACGCCCCTTAGCTGTTATAAATTCACTGTAAACCACGACTTCTTGGGGCTTATTGCTTTAATATATCGTGCCTTAAAGTCACATTGATCAGATTAGAGCTGGACAATAATGGAGTTAAATTTTGTGATGATTTAAACAATCAAGTTGAGATGTGCTATTAAAGCAATAAGCCCCGTGAAACCGTGGTTTACTTCAGAAACAGTTGTGGTTGCAACAAAGTGGTTGCCGAGCAACACACAAACATAAACAAAGGTGTGTTACTTTGTAGAGTCATTTACAACAGCTTCGAACGTGGCTCAGCCAATCAGAATCAAGGACCGGAACTATCCGCTTTATAAATAGTATATATATCACTTTTTATTTTTGTGTGTTCAGACGGTTCTGTGATCGAGCCGGACATGTCAGCGGGATTCTGTCCTGATCACAAAGCGGCCATGGTTCTGTTCCTGGACCGCGTTTACGGCATCGAGGACCAGAACTTCCTCCTGCACCTGCTGGAAGTGGGCTTTCTTCCTGACCTCAGAGCCGCCGCCTCATTGGACACGGTAAGTCACGTGACACCTCAGTGAGTGTGTGTTATCATGCCGATCTTTGACCTCTCTTCTCGTCCCGTGTGACCTCTGACCTCCAGGTGGCTCTGAGCGCGACAGACATGGCGCTGGCTCTGAACCGGTACCTGTGCACGGCGGTCCTGCCGCTGCTCACTAAATGCGCTCCTCTGTTCGCCGGGACGGAGCCGTTCGCGTCTCTCATCGACTCTCTGCTGCACACCGTCTACAGGCTGTCGAAAGGCTGCTGTCTCACCAAAGCGCAGAGAGACGCCATCGAGGAGTGTCTGCTGGCTGTGTGCGGGTGAGGACTAGTTACAAACTAGTCAAAACGTTGGTGGTTCTTGGTCAGATTAAGTTCTTAGTGCGACTAGTATATAGCAACTCTTGTGTGGTTATGTAACTGAAATCAAGTAAAAACTGGGATTAAGCAGCTCTTTTGCATAAGAAACCTCACAAATAACAAATCAGTTCAAAATCTATTTAAATCAGCGGTCCAACACTATATTTGATATATTACTGTAATTATGACAAAGCTGCTTGTTTTCAAACTGCTGTAACAGAAACTGAGGATATTTATTTATTTAATATTTATGTTAAATTAATTAACCCAGGTTTTGTGATTCCAGAAGATCCAAGATTTCTGATTCCGTATGTTCTTTAATAAAAACAGTAGATACTGAAGGGAAAAAAGATATGACTACAGTTTACATCTTGATTGTATGTGTATTTTTAGTATTTAAATTTAGAGTAGAGTTTTTAGTATAGTATTTTGTATGCTATTTTAATATATTAATAATACTTTATTACTGCAAGGCGAGATACTTCAGGCAAGACCAACTTTTTATGTACTAATCAATTTTGGTTTGTTTTGCTTCTATAACACGTGTTCTAGCGGAAAGAAAACATCCAAAATACACATTTAAGTGTTTATTTTATTGCACGTTATCTATTTGCGTCTGTAGATTTCAATTCCAGTCTATATCTTTAAAGAGTTTTTCTTTTACATACACCAGACTTTGCAGTTTTATTCCTCTCTATATTCTGAAGGCTTGTTCATATTTCATTCACACTGATTTATACAACATTTTATTCCTAGAAACATGGTAAAAAAGTATTTGTTTTCTGTCTGTTGACAGTATTTTCTGATTTATGGAGAGAAAACCTTTAACTCTAATATGTGACTCTGGAGCACAAAAGCAGTGTTAAGTCGCTGGGGTATATTTGTAGCAATAGCCAACAATACATTGTATGGGTCAAAATTATAAATTTTTCTTTTATGACAAAAATCATTAGGATATTAAGTAAAGATCATGTTCCATGAAGATATTTTGTAAATGTCCTACCGTAAATATATCAAAACTTAATTTTTGATCAGTAATATGCATTGCTAAGAACTTCATTTGAACAACTTTAAAGATGATTTTCTCAATATTTAGATTTTTTTGCACCCACAGATTCCAGATTTTCAAATAGTTGCATCTCGGCCAAATATTGTTGAACCGGTATACCGTCCAGCACTACTCTCTATTCTCATTCAAAAACAGCATTGAGGAATGTTTGAGGTCTATCTGGACCTCACAGGAAATTATGACAAGTCCTCCAAGCATTCCTTCAGCTCTTATGACACAGGGAGGGAACGGCGATCATTTCTGCATGACACATTCATGCTATCTGACGCCAGCGATAGAGCAAGAGCCCACGCGAAATAAGAAAACCTGTTTTGTCAAAGCAATAACTCTCTCTTAAGCACTGAATGGGGAGCACAACAAAAGGAGGGATTTTTGTTTCTCTCTAACAAAAGAAAAGGAAGGATATCTTTGAAAGCGATTCATTACGAAATGTTGTAACGGTGTTGTTTGGTAAATCCATCAGCTACTATGTTAGGGTCTCTTTACACACCGCAGCAGGACATAAAAAGCACACTAGTGTAATCATTACATTATCATCTTCTTTGTACTGTGCATGTCACAGTGATTCATTGAGCTTGCTCACTGCTGTGAATGTGGGTTAGAGATGTGCAGAGGCTTGTAAACACCTCCCTGATGCTGAATCTACGCCACCGCTGGTCAATCTTCAGCACCAGAGCAAAAGAAATCATACTGTACCTGAGTTTACCTTCTGTATTGAATGTAAAGCAATGAAAAGACTGTATAGTACTGTGTCCAACCAGTGCAGCCTGATTCTGAAGCAAATTATTCTTATGAACGGTTCTTTTTAGTGAATCAAACACATTCAGTCCAAACAGTGCGGCCTGATTCACAAACAAATCTTATGAATAATTATTTTTAAGTGAATCAAAAATATACAGCGCAACCAGTGTCGTCTGATTCACACGTTTGACTCTCATGAACAGTTCTTTTTAGTGAATCAAAAGCATACAGTACAACCAGTGTAGCTTAAGTCAATAACAAATGACTCCTATTCTATGAATAGTTATTTTTAAGAAATCAAACACACTGCGCAACCAGTGTAACCTAATTCACACACATTTGACTCTTGTGAATGGTTCGTTTTAGTGAATCAAAAACATACAGTGCAACCAGTTGAGCATGATTCACAAACAAATTACTCTAAAAAACAGTTCTGTTTCGCTGGGGTATATTTGTAGCAATAGTCAACAATACATTGTATGGGTCAAAATTATCGATTTTTCTTTTATGCCAAAAATACTTAGGATATTAAGTAAAGATCATGTTCCATGAAGATATTTTGTACATTTCCTACCGTAAATATATCAAAACTTCATTTTTGATTAGTAATATGCATTGCTAAGAACTTCATTTGAACAACTTTAAAGATGATTTTCTCAATATTTAGATTTTTTTGCACCCTCAGATTCCAGATTTCCAAATAGTTGTATCTCAGCCAAATATTGTCCTATCCTAACAAACCATACATCAATGGAAAGCTTATTTATTCAGCTTTCAGCTGATGCATACATCTCAATTTCACAAAATTGACCCTTATGACTGGTTTTGTGCTCCAGGGTCACATATATCAACAAAATCAAGAATTTTCAACCTGGCTTCATCCAAACTTCAGATTTATGCTCTGGAAATGTACGTTTCATTAGAAAATGCCCCATTTGCATATTCAAACACAACATTTCAGAAAACTTGTCATATAAATTTTAATGTCTTAATGTTCTGTGATGAATCAGCTTTGGTGAGACGTACCGTGTTCGTGTGGCCCGTGTGCGTTTGCTGTCGACGGTCTCACGCATGTTTCCTGTGACTGTATGTGTTGTGTGTGTGTTTTGCAGTAAACTGCGTCCCTCGATGATGCAGCATCTGCTGAGGCGTCTGGTGTTTGACGTTCCTTTGCTAAACGAACACACTAAGATGCCTCTGAAGGTGAGACGAGTCTGATCTCTCATTCACCTCATTAATCATGTGCTGTAGTAACTGAGCTCTGGTGGGGGGCGTGTCCTCCCGCAGCTCCTGACCAATCACTACGAGCGCTGCTGGAAGTACTACTGTCTCTCCGGAGGATGGGGAAGCTTCGGCGCCGCGTCAGACGAGGAGCTGCATCTGTCCAGAAAGCTCTTCTGGGGGATCTTTGACGCTCTGGCCAGAAAGGTACAGCGGAGCCTGAGCTGATGCGTCACTTGATTGTCTACTGTATCTGAGATGTGTGTATTTTTGCAGAAATATGAGGTGGAGTTGTTCAAGCTGGCGCTGCCGTGTCTGAGCGCGGTGGGCGGAGCTTTACCTCCCGATTACATGGAGTCAAACTACATGGCCATGATGGAGAAACCGTCGTCTATGGACGCCGAGGGAAACTTCAACCCGCAGCCCGCCGACACCAGCAGGTCAGACCCAAGCGCTCCTCCTCTGAAGCCTTTCCTCTAAACATGAGCATTTCAAGTTTTTCCAGATGTGTGTAGTGTGATTGTGTTTGTGTTTCTGCAGTGTTGTTGTTCCTGAGAAACTCGATCATTTCATCAATAAATATGCAGAATACTCCCATGAGAAATGGTCCATGGAGAAGGTCAGAGCTGCTTTCATTTCATTATTAAAGTGACTGAATTTTATTAATATTATTTATATTTTTGGCTGTATTTTGTTCTACTGATGTTGGGAGTAAATTACCAGATAAACACTGGTAAAAGTCCTCTTTTCAGTAGTGTGACTGTAGCTCAGTGGTTTTTAAAACTGCGTAACTTTTATTTTAGTGCAACTTTCTATGAAGTAGTGGTGTAGTAAATCAAAGCACATCATTTTTGTGCCTTAATGTCGATTGAATGAGCTGAATCAATGATCTAGAATGCACTGAGTTTGATTCATTCATTCAGACTCAACTGAGTCAGTGCAGACTGATTCAAAAAATGATTCATAAGTTCATTTTGAGCCATCACACAATAGAACGTTTCTAGAAGTTTGTCTTATTTAAATGGTAACACTTTACATTCAGATTTCATTAGTTGACATTAGTTACACTAGTGAACATGAACGAACAATGAGCAATTTTACAGCATTTTATTTAATTTTAATTTCAATGTTTATTAACCCCAAAAGGGGTGACGTATCCTGGGGGATACAAACATTAAAATCAAAAATAATAGTCAAGTTTAAAAAAAAAAAATCACAAATTTGTATTATTTGTGTTCTAATAAGGTGTAAAATAGCAATAAATAAATTTTCCAATGACTTTTAATATGCTTGCCCTTTTTAGGGTTAATATACACTTAAAATCAAATGTAGTCAAGTCACCATTATTTCTATAGCGCTTTATATAATACTGATTGTGTCAAAGCAGCTTCACAGTGTTAATGTGTCAATAATGCAAGAAGACAATAACAGAGTCATTTTTCCAGCTAAAGTCAGTTCTGTTAATATTAGTTAATGCACTTTGACCTGATGTGAACAAACAATGAACAGTTGTATTTTTATTAACTAACATTAAGAAAGATTAATAAAGGCTGTAAAGAATATATTGCTCGTTGTTAGTTCATGCATTAACTAATATTAATGAATGGGACCTTATTGAAAAGTGCTGCCATTTAATTTAATTAAAGAAAATTTAGTTTATCATTGTCTATTTCAGTTATTGCTTCTGTTTTATTAACAGTGTTAAATGCAAATCTTTTCTCAAATTTAATGCAGTTACTCTGATTAAAATGTTGTCAAGTGTTTTTGTGCCAATGTTGTTGAAAATTACATATATGCTATCTTTTTGTGACTAAGTGCTTTATCAAACAAGTAGCCTGACTGTAGGTTAAATTGAGTATTTTTTTTATTTAGTGGTAAGTTGCATCCTGAGCATGTGTTCTTGTGTGAATTGAGTTCATTGATGTGTGTGTCTGCAGTTTGCCGTCGGCTGGGTTTATGGAGAGCAGATGTGTGAATCATCTAAAGTTCATCCGCTGCTCAAGCCTTACAAATGTCTGTCTGAGAAGGTACCTTTCAGTGATTACACTCAGAATGATGAGTAAACCACAGCGTGCCAGTAGGTTTCCCAGCATGCCTCTGTGTTTCAGGATAAGGAGGTGTACCGCTGGCCAATCAGAGAGAGTCTGAAGACGATGCTGTCGTGGGGCTGGAGCATCGAGCGGATGAGAGAGAGCGACGCGTCCACATTACACAACCGCACGCGCCGGATCTCTCTGTCCAGTCAGGTCAGAAACAGCCGTATTTACAGTATGAGTGAGTGATCATCTGCATAAAAGAAAGAGAGAGTCATGTGAGGTGCAGTGTGCGTGACCTTTGACCTCTCGTGTCTCCTGCAGCGCTCCATAGAGGGCGCTCACGGTTTCAGCCCGCGGCCCGTCGACATGAGCAACGTGACGCTGTCCAGAGACCTGCATGTGAGTGAAGCGCTTCACACATCCACTCTAACACTTCCGGTTTTACTGTTTGAAACACGTTGCTGTGTTTGTGGGCTTCAGACGATGGCGGAGCTGCTGGCCGAGAACTATCACAACATTTGGGCTCAGAAGAAAAAACTGGAGCTGGAATCCAAAGGTCTGTTCACAAACATGTTACATACTGTAAAAACAGTACAGTAGTGTGATAGTAGGTCCTTCTGATCATATAAACCTGAGTGTAGCCATTAGATGGCGCTACAGGGCTGCATATTACCTCAGTGTGTGTCTGGTGCTGCTTTCTAACGTGTGTGTGTGTGTGTGTGTCAGGAGGAGGCAGTCATCCATTACTGGTTCCTTACGACACTTTAACTGCCAAAGAGAAATCGAAAGACCGAGAGAAAGCACAAGACATCCTCAAGTTCTTTCAGATCAACGGATACAGCGTCTCAAGGTGACCATGTGTGTGTGTGAGTGTGTGTGAGTGTGTGAGTGTGTGTGTGTTTTTGTGTGTGTG